GTGGTTTTATTTCTGGGCTTTCAATTCTGTTCCATTGATCTGTGCACCTGTTTTTGTACCAGCACCATGCTGTTTTGATTACTGTAGCTTTGTAGTATGTTTTGAAGTCAGGGATTGTGATGCCTCCCGTTTTGTTCTTTTTTCTCAGGATTGCTTTAGAAATTCGGGGTCTTTTGTTGCCCCATATGAATTTTAGGATTCTTTGTTCTAATTCTGTAAAGAATGTCATTGGGATTCTGATTGGGATGGCGTTGAATCTGTAGATTGCTTTAGGTAGAAGGGACATTTTAACTATGTTTATTCTTCCAATCCATGTACATGGAATGTCTTTCCATCTCCTTATGTCGTCATCCAATTCTCTCAGAAAGGCCTTGTCATTTTCATTATATAGGTCCTTCACTTCCTTAGTTAAATTTACCCCGAGGTATTTTATTCTTTTTGTTGCGATTGTGAATGGTATTGTATTCTTGAGTTCTTTTTCTGTTGGTTCATTACTGGAGTATAGAAATGCTACTGATTTATGCAAATTGATTTTATACCCTGCAACTTTGCTGTAGTTGTTGATTACTTCTAAAAGTTTTCCAATGGATTCTTTGGGGTTTTCTATATATAAGATCATGTCGTCTGCAAACAGCGAGAGTTTCACTTCTTCCCTCCCTATTTGGATTCCTGTTATTCCTTTTTCTTGCCTGATTGCTCTGGCCAGGACCTCCAGTACTATGTTAAATAAGAGTGGTGATAGAGGGTATCCTTGTCTCATTCCTGTTTTCAGGGGGATGGGGTTCAGTTTTTGCCCATTGAGTATGATGTTGGCTATGGGTTTGTCGGATATGGCCTTTATTATGTTGAGGTAGTTTCCTTCTATGCCCATTTTGCTCAGAGTTTTTATCATAAATGGCTGTTGGATCTTGTCAAATGCCTTCTCTGCATCTATTGAGATGATCATGTGGTTTTTATTCCTCAGTTTGTTGATGTGGTGTATGACGTTGATTGATTTGCGGATGTTGAACCATCCCTGTGTCCCTGGTATGAATCCCACCTGGTCCTGATGTATGATTCTTTTGATGAATTGCTGAATTCTGGTTGCCAAAATTTTGTTTAGAATTTTTGCATCTATGTTCATCAGTGATATTGGCCTGTAGTTCTCTTTTTTCGTGGTGTCCTTGTCAGGTTTTGGTATCAGCGTGATTCAGGGTCCTTTTCTGTTAACGAGGAGTGGGGAGCAGTGCTCAGAGGGTCCCAGGCTCCCTGAAAATGATGGAGTCATCTGAAAAAGACCCGACAATATGGATGGTTAGGATTTTCCAAAGAGATAAAGGAAGGAATATCATCCATAAAAGGAACAGGAAATCATTAAACAAAAGAGCAGCTCTAGTCAACCCAAGGGTCCATCATGGGTAATGGATAAGCAAAACATGGTCTGTACACTTGGAATACCATTCAGCCTTAAAAAGGAAATTCCACGTGCTACAGTGTGGATGAACCTTGAAGACCTTATACCAAGTGAAAGAAGCCAGACACTAAAGGACAAATCCTGTATGATTCCACTTACCTGAGGTTCCTAGAATATCCCAAATTCACAGAGACAGAAAGGAGAACCGTGGTTGTCAGGGGCTGGGGGGAGGGAGGAATGGGGAGTTGTTTAATGGGGACGGAATTTCTGTTTGGGGCGAGAAAAAGGTTTTGGAAATGCTGATGACTGCACAACATTGTGAATGTCATTAATGACACAGGGTCGCGGCCTGCCTCGTCCCCGTCCCCCGCCCCCCAGTGTCCCCCGCACTAAGCGCGCTAAGCGGGCAGGCACGTCCAGGGGTTCACTGACAGCTGGGGTGTGCGGGTGCAGAGAAGCAAAGGCGGGAAGCAGAGACCCCGCGGAGAGGCTGCGGGTTGGCCAGGGCAGCCGGGAGGGAGGCGGCTTCACCCCACGGACACGGCCCCCGGGTCCGGAGCGGCGACGTGACCGGTCCATGTCCCACAAGAGGTGCCCCACCTCGGGTTCGGCACCTTCTCCTCTCCAAGCCCTGGCGCCCCCAGCGACCCCTCCCCGCGCGACCCCTTCCCCGCTGCCCTACCCTCGACGCCCGCCCGCCCCAGCGCTGCCCCCCTCGTCCCTCCAGCGCCCCTAGCGCCGCCCCCTCGAGCCTCGGCCCCGGGTTATTAATATCCAGGCGCTGGCGCGCGGCCGCGGCGCATTCCCAGCTGGCGGCCGGGCAGGTGGCGGCGGCGACCAGTGACCTGGGCTCAGAGCGCGGCTCTCCTGGTGGGACCTTCGGGCGGGCTCCCTCCGCCGCGCGCCCCTGGGAGCCCCCAGCCCTCTGCACGCCCGGCCGGGGCGGAGCCCTCGGGAAAGTTCCGCGCAGAGCGTTTGGAGACGTGCAGCGGAGAGGCGGCCGTCCCTGAGCGCGACCCCCGGCTGCGACATCCCGCTGCCCCGGCTATTGAGGTGAGCAAGCAGGGCGCCGCGAGTGCCACGGCCGGAGCGCGGGGTCGGGGGCGCTGGGCAGGAGGCGCCCTCCCTGCCGACCCGCACTATCCCAGCGGAATCGCCCGCGCCCTTAGCCCTCCTCGAGCCCCAGGGCGGCCAGAGGAATGCCAGTGCCAGGGGAGGCCGGGGGACGCGATCCGCGCAGGTGGCGGCACCGAGGGGCCGAGGGAGGACCGGGAAGCCGCAGGTGCGCGCGGGCTCGGCGGGGCTTCGCCTCTCTCCGGTGCTCCGAGGCGCGGCCCCCGGCAGCCGCTTGTCCCGCTGCGGCCCGAGGCGCGCAGCCGCCTCGGGCTGGGGAATCCCGCGCCCCCCAGCTCGGGTCCTGGGCAGCGCTGGGCGGGAGGGCTCTGGGACCGGGACCCGCGGCAGCAGCCTGGACAGGGGCCTCTGGCCGGTAGGACCCCCAGCTCCCCTCGCCAGACCAGAGGCTGGGCCGGATCTCGTGGGCACAGGGGCCTGGAAGGCGTCTCTGCACCCCCGAGTCTGCCCGGGCATCGGCTGGAGGGACGGTCTCGAGTTTATCCTCATCGTTGTCAACCCTGGAGGAGCGGAGGGAGAAGCCTGGAGCCGGTATTATCGGTGGCTGGGAGGAGATAGGCGGCACCGGGGCCTCCCCTCTCTGTGGAAGTATTCCCACGTTTTAGGCCTCTTTTTTCTTGTGAAGATAGTCGTCATACAGTAAGCATAGATCTTAGGTGTGCAGCTCCATGAGTGTTTACATGTGTCTATGCCTGTGTCACCACCCACCCAGATCAGGACCAGCAGGGGGCTGCAGGGCCCCCTCTGGGGTGACACCCTCCGTCCTCTGACCTCCTCTGTGTTGTCGGGTTTGCCGGTCCCTGAACTTCTATAAATGGAATCACACGGTGTGTTGTCTTTCTGTCCGATTTCTTTCGCTCAACATAGTGTATGAGTTTCCTGCACCTTGTTGACTGTAGGATATTTCCATCGTCCTCACCGCTGAGGAGCATTTCCGCGGAGACGTCACAGTTTGTTATCTGCGCTGCCATGTGTGGATGTTTGAGTAGACTCAGCTCCTGGGTATGAGGAATGAAGCTGCTCTTGTCTTTTTGTGGACATTTGCCCTCCTTCCTCTTGGGTACAAACCTGAGCGTGGCACTGGTGGGTGGGAGGGCGTGCACAAGTCCAGCTTTACCGATAGTGCCAGACTGCTTTCCAAAGCGGCTGCACCATTTTGCAGCCCCACCAGCAGTAAAGTGGAGCCCCAGTTCTCCACGTGCTCCCAACGCTGGGTGTCTGTCTGCCCTTTGCGTCCCACCCTCCTGGTGGGAGTGCATTCGTTTTGATCTGCGAGTCCCTGATGACTGACGATGTCGAGCATCTTTTCATGTGTTGCTTGGCCATTTGGATATCCTCTTTTGAGAAGTTCCTGTCTAAATCTTGTCTTTTTTTTTTTTTTTTTTTAAAGATTTTATTTTTTCCTTTTTCTCCCCAAAGCCCCCCGGTACATAGTTGTATATTCTTCGTTGTGGGTTCTTCTAGTTGTGGCATGTGGGACGCTGCCTCAGCGTGATTTGATGAGCAGTGTCATGTCCGCGCCCAGGATTCGAACCAACGAAACACTGGGCCGCCTGCAGCGGAGCACGCGAACTTAACCACTCGGCCACGGGGCCAGCCCCCTTTTTTTTTTTTTTTTGAATGAGTTGTTAGTCTTACTGATTTGTAGTTCTTTGACATGTTACTTGTCCTTTGTCTTTTATCTGTCTCTGACAATCTTTCCCCAGTCCAGGGTTTACATTTTTACTCTCTCACTGAAGTTCGTAATTTTAATAAAGTCCACTTGATCGGTGTTTTCTTTTATTGTTAGTGTTTTTTGTTCCTTTTTGAGAAATCTTTGCTTATCCAAGGTTGTGCAGAGAGTCTCGTGTGTTTTTCAGAAGCCTGGTTGATTGATTTCATTACATGCAGGTCCCCAGTCCATCTTGCATTATTTTTGTGGACAGTAAGAGGTGGGAATGAAAGCTCGTTTTCCTCATATGGATAAAGGAAGATTGCAAGGGCTTTCCCGTCTTCACCACACATATTTTCCTATTTAAACTTTTAAAGTCAGCCTATAATACTTTTGCAATCTGAAGAAAACATATTTTTTAAAATGTACACGAGAAATAAATTGGGAGAAAGGACTCGGTACCCACAGCTCCCTTGCTCATTCACCTAGAAGGTGAGACTCAGGGAGGACTCCCATCTCCATCTGCTGCTGACCCCACCCCCCAGGGGCTGTGCACTGGTTTTCAGAAAAGTCCAGTCAACCACAGAGGTCCCAGGTGGAGGTGCAGCTGGGGCACACCATGGGGCAGCTGGTTGGTGGCTCTCTGGTCCCCTGGGTAGCTGGGGAAAACGAGGCAGAGTGACAGAGTTCTGAGTAGGGAGTCCCCAGGGGGAGGAGGGAGTCAATGAGCCCCGTCCCTCTGCAGGCCCCCCAACCTGATGGGAAGTGTGACCTCACATGGCCTCCTGGGCATCTTTAATGGGCATCTTCTCCTGCAGGACGAGCTTCTTGCCCACAGATGCCCCGTCTGTGTCCAAAGGAGCATCACACCCTAGCCCGGAGCCCCGTGTGAGGCAGCAGAGATGGCACTGAGCCCGGAGCCGGCGAGCAGATTCCCCGAGCTGGCTACAGCAGGCAGCACTGTGCCTGAGCTGCCTGGTGGCCCCAATGCATCCCTCAACAGTTCGTGGGCCAGCCCGACAGCGCCCAGCTCCCTAGAGGACCTGGTGGCCACAGGTGCCATCGGGGTGGTGCTCTCGGCCATGGGCTTGGTGGGCGTGGCAGGCAACGTGTACACGCTGGTGGTTATGTTCCGCTTCCTGCACGCCTCGGCCCCCATGTACATCTACGTGGTCAACCTGGCGCTGGCCGACCTGCTTTACCTGCTCAGCATCCCCTTCATCGTGGCTACTTACGTGACCAAGGAGTGGCACTTTGGCGACGTGGGCTGCCGCATCCTCTTCAGCCTGGACTTCCTGACCATGCACGCCAGCATCTTCACCCTGACCGTCATGAGCAGCGAGCGCTACGCCGCCGTGCTGAGGCCGCTGGACACGGTGCAGCGCTCCAAGGGCTACCGCAAGGTCCTAGCGCTGGGCACGTGGTTGCTGGCGCTGCTGCTGGCACTGCCCATGATGCTGGCCATCCGGCTTGTCCGCAGGGGCCACAAGAGCCTCTGCCTGCCGGCCTGGGGCCAGCATGCCCACCGCGCCTACCTGACGCTGCTCTTCGGGACCAGCATTGTGGGGCCCGGCGTGGTCATCGGGCTGCTCTACATCCGCCTGGCCCGGGCCTACTGGCTGTCTCAGCGGGCCTCCTTCACGCAGACGCGGCGGCTGCCCAACCCCAGGGTGCTCTACCTCATCCTGGGCATCGTGCTGCTCTTCTGGGCCTGCTTCCTGCCCTTCTGGCTGTGGCAGCTCCTGTCCCAGTACCGCGCAGCCCAGCTGCTCACGCCCCGCACCGCCCGCATCGTCAACTACCTGACCACCTGCCTCACCTATGGCAACAGCTGCGTCAACCCCTTCCTCTACACGCTGCTCACCAAGAACTACCGTGACTTCCGCCTGCGCTCGCTCCAGGCCAGGGGCGCCTGTGGGCCCGCGGGCGCCGGCAGCTTCCCGCAGTGCCGAGTCCGCTTCCAGCGCGGCTCAGGCCGCTCCTTGTCCTCTACCAGCCAGCAGGCCACCGAGACCGTCATGCTGCCCCAGGCAGCTCCCAGGGGCGTCTGTGCCTGAGTGACCCTGGGCCCCACATGGCACTGGGGTCAGTGGGGTAGGGGGTGGCTGGAGGCCTGCTGGGAGAGGTCCCAGAGCCCAGGTCACTGCCTGGAGCCCCTCCCAGCCCCCCACTGCCCCCGGCTGACTGCCCCACTTCCTTAGTCCTCTTCTGGAAAGTTCCCTGTTCTCCCTTCTCCGTGGCTTATTTCAGCTCCATCAGCCACCTTCCTCATAATGCCCAGAAGCCCCACTCCCAGCCCGTCCCTGAGGGTCAACAGGAGCCTCAGGCCCAGAACCAGGTTCTGAAGACCATGGTGAGTAAGGTCTTCACCACCCATAGCAGTGGACGTGAGCGCCCAGGCAGTGCCCACCCTGACTCGTGGCGGGTACACAAGCTGCCTGCACGGGACCCCCCCTCTTCTGGCCAGTGCTCAGCCCCTGTGTCCCCAGCCCCAGTCCCTCCCAGCTCCTGTGTGGCTCCATTCCTCACAGCTTCAGCACTTGGAACAATAAACTCCAAGCTCTGTTCTTCTGTCCTGCCTCAGCATTGGGGTGGGATGTCAAGGGGTGGGAGGACCCATATCTTCAGGGACCCAGCAGAAGCCCCCAGGATGTCCCCCGACAGCAGGTGGAAGAGCCTTGTTGGTGGGCACACATCTTCCTTTGAGGCCTTTGCTGGTGGCTGGTCCGGCCGTCCTGACGCAGTGGGTGGGTGCCGTCCAGCTTGAGCCAGGCCCCCGGGCGAGGCAGGGAATGACCAGCCACTGCTTACTCAGGGAAGAGGGGCCATTGCTCCAGGGCAGCAGCACAGCCCCCAAACTGAAACTGTGAGCCAGAATTCTCCCATTAGCAGCTCATCTGTCTCTCCCTTCCCAGCTCTGTGTGCCTGGTGGGAGGTGGGGGGTGGAGGGGTTGGGAGGTGGATCATACCCACGGCATCAGAGTTTATCTTGTGCCTCCTATGTGCAGCATTCAAGCTGGGCCTCCTGGGGACACTGAGGCCACCGTGCCCTACCCTCAGAGAGCTCACTCTCGGGGAAGGTTCTGGACCTCTCCTCACCCCCTACCCCCCCTGGCAGCTGTACACTCCGCGTTGTGGCTTCAGCTCCCGCCCCACAGGTGGGTCCCAGCCTGGGCCGCACCTGGACCCCCTTCAGGGCCCTGCCAGGTTCTGATGTGCAGGCAGGTGGAGACCCCCACCGGCAGCCCCTAGGTGTTGAGTCTGAGACCATTGGCCCCACTTGGGACCCCGAATGTTTTCAGAAGAGAATGGCCTGAAGTTTGCACTGTAACCATGACCCCAGATCTTTGCTTCCTGAGTCTTGATTCCAAGATGTGCTGAGAAGGCCCCAACCTTGGAGACCAGAGACCCCCAAAAGTGTCCCCACGGCCCCTATTCATCTGCACATGTGAATATGTTCTTTGTACCGTTTCTTGGAGTGATGCTGAGGAAGCTACGTTTTTGACCCCAAACTTAGGACCTGCCTTGACACATGCTCTGTGTCAGAGACCTGAGCATCCTGGTTAACTTTCCTAAGGTGCCAGGCTGGGCTTCCAGGGACACCCAGGTGTGCCAGGCAGCACGCAGAGGGAACTTGGGGGCAAAGGGGTAGAGGAGGGAGCAGGCAGAGTACCGTGTCCCGTGATGGGTGTGGGGGGCGGAGATGAAACCTAGAGTCAGGTCGGGTCCTGACCCAGGAGCCCTTGAGTGTCGGGGGTGGGGCAGGGGTTTATCTGAGGCAGTGGTGGGGCATGGAGGGACATAGTGGGGTGAGGCCGTGCATAGGCAGGGAGGCTCGTCTAGGAGGGCCCTGTTTCAGGGGTCAGGGGAAGCAGGGCAAGAGCAGTAGTGGGGGCCAGTGGGGCAGCCAAGATTCTGGAGAATCAGTGGGAGCCAGAGGGCTTCTGGCTGGGGAGGCAGCCTGGACAGAACAATCCAGACTCACTATGGAGGGAGGCACCTTCCCTGGGGGGGACCACAGGCAGTCGGTGGTGAGAGATGTTGGGGGTGAGCCTGCGGGTCCTTGGGAAAGGGTTGAGGCTGGAGATAGACACACACACACACACACACACATACACACACACACACCTCTCTGGGGAAGAGGAGAAGAACAGGCTGGGGGCAGTGATTTCCCTCTCAGGATGCGTGGTCACACATGGGGGGCTGTGGCCACCCTGAGTCAGGGCAGGGGAAGACATATGGGGCAGGCTCCTGCAGGCCAGGCTAGGGACCAGGGGCTGTTTGGAAGTAAAAGATGGTGGCCCCGGGGAGAGAGGCCCCAGCCCCAGGCAGACAAGCTGTGCCTCTGCTTAGCTGAGCTTGGGACTCCTTCCATCTGTGTGTCTGTCCCTCTTGGTCACCAGGCCCTGAGCTGAGTGAGGCCAAGCCTGCCTTTCCAGCCTCACAGCACAGACCCCCGAGCACGGGCCAGCTGTCCCAGGACAGTCCATCTGGGCCCTGAGCCCCAGGACCCTGGGATCCCTGCCCATACCTGGGACAGTCTGGGGCTCGGCTGGGTGGGGCGAGCAGCTCTCATCTCTCCCACCCCTCTGAGCCTGGGCGGTGGGTACCCGCACTGCACAAGCTCCTTCCTGGGTCTCCTCCTAACCCAGGGAGGTTCGTCTCCAACTTGCTGTCCCAGGGGCCAGGGAGAGGCTCAGACTGGGGAAGGGACGCAGCCAGGCTCACAAAGGTCTAAGGGAGCAATGCCCGTACCCTTGCTGTGGGAGCCCTCTGCCAGTTTGGAGCTGGCAGGCTCACCTGAGGCCTGGGGGAATCAGGGAGGGAGGGATGGCCCAGCAAAAGGGCTGAAGCTTCAGGTCCAGAAAGCCAGAGGCTGAGGCCGCTGGGCCCGCAGGCCTTACACCGCCGGCCACAACCCACATGGCTCAGGTCTGGTCAGAAATGAAATCCAGGTCCTCCTTGCAGGGGCCCCCTTGTTGCCTCCCAGACAGACCCCACCCACAGCGTCCGTCAAGCGTCCTCTCGTCCCCCTCCAGCCCCTGGTCCCAGGTCCCAGCATGGCCTCTCCTGGCCTGGCTTCCCCTGGCTGACCCCCCTTCCACCACTCCCCTGTCCCCCAACCTCCAGCCACCACGGCTGGAGCTGGGGATGCTCTGCTGGGGCTCCCCTCTCATCCCCCACCTGGCAGTGCCCACATTCCTGCCACCTCTCAGGGAGCCTCATGATGACATCCAGTGTGCTTCAGCATTTAAAAACGTTAGGCAAACGCTCACACATGTACACACTCACACGACACTCACACGTGTGTACGCTCTCACACATGTACACTCACATCCACAGACAGCCACGTGGAGACTCCCAGATGTTTCCTGTGGCTCCGCCAGCCTCCCGGGACCCACCGCCCACAGCCCCTTCCTCTCCCCTCTCCCTGGCACCCAGGACTGACTCAGTGGAGGCCAGGTGATTTATGGAGGCCTTGTCTGGCTAGAGACCCACAGTTGTCAGCCCATCAGGTACCCTGCCCGGCTCTCTGGTCTCATCAGGCCTCCCTCCCTGCTCGGAGGCAAGGCTGGTCCTACAGAGGGATCCTCTGCCTGCTGGGACCCCCACCAGACCCTCAGACCCCACTCTGGCCCCCCCAGGGCTCTGAGGTTGCTGAGGGTCTGGGTGGCTTGAACCGGGACAGGAGGAAGGGAGGTCTGAGCCAGGGCATGAGCCAGGTCTTGGGGGGCCTGGACGGGGGTGAGCTGGACATGGGAGGGCCCCGGGGTGAGGCTGCTGCTATTCAAACAGTTACAGCTTCATTGAGGCCATTACATATCATAATATTCACCCTCTTAAAGTGCAATTAAAGATTTGCAGTCCATTTACGGAGCTTTGCAGCCATTATCACAGTGCAATTTTAGGACACCCATTTGTCAGGGTGCTCCAGAGAGACAGAGCCAATGGGACATGTATATGAATAATAGAGGATTTTTTAAGGAATCATCTCACGCAATTGTGGGGCTGGCAAGTCTGAAATCCGTAGGTGGGCCTGCAGGCTGGAAACTCAGGCAGGAGCTGATGCTGCAGCCTTGGGGCAGAATTCCTTCTTTTCCAGGAAACCACTGTTTTTGCTCTTGAGGCATTCAACTGAGTGGGTGAGGCCCACCACCCAAGTTATAGAGAATAATCCTCTTTGCTTGAAGTCAGCTGACTGTAGATGTCCGTCCATGTTGCTGTGGGTCAGCGCTTCGTTCCTCTTTATAGCCGAATACCCACTACTGTTGATCCGTCATCAGCTCTGGGCACTTGAGCTGCCCGTCCTGTCCCCTAACACAAACACTCAGGTACACGTCTTTGTGTGGACATGTTTTCATTTCTCTTGGGGAGATTCCTGAGTGGAGGCACTGGCTCCTATGGGATTGCCAGACTGTTTTCCAAAATGGCTGCACATCCCACACTCCCTCCAGCAGTGCGTGAGGGTCCCCGTTCCTCCACGTCCTCCCAACGCTGTCCTCCCTCTAGGCACGTTTTCATAACGGCAGCTGTTCTGGGTAAACTTGGATTAATAATGGCCAGCTCTGACGGTGACTGTCTCTCAGAGGCACGTGCCTGCAAGGCTGGGGGCCGCAGGCCTTGCTTGACTGGCTGAGGTTGGTGCCAGGACACTGCTGTCCGCAGGCTGGGGGAGGGGCGGGCCCTGGGCCCCTCGCCAATGGAGGCAGGACATGCCCCTTCCCATCTGTGGCACATCAGCTTCCAACAGGAGTGAGCCCAGTCCCCTTGCCTGGTTCTGTCCTGGGAACCTGGGGTTTCCCCACCTGGTAACATCTATTAGGGGAGGGGGTTTGGGTAGGGGCCCTCAGGGGAAAGGGACATCATCATGGCCATCATCGTTATGGATCGTTTTGGTTCTATGGGTCATCTAAATTTCTTTTGCCCATTTCCCCCTGACTCAGGGAAGGCCCTGAAGAGGTCCGTCCTATCCCCCTACCTGGGGAAGACACTGACCAGGCACATCCATGGGCCCAGCTGGCCTCAGAGCCAGCTGGGGGGCTGCTTGCGTGCTGAGGCTTTTCCAACAGTTCAAGGCAAGGTGGGGGCTCAGAACCAGTGGGTCCTCTCTGTGACTCCCTCATGCTACCTGGAGCTTAGATCACAGGGCTTTGCTGGAGCCTCTTAAGGGCTGTTAGGGGCCTGGGAGCTCAGTGCCCTGGGCCAGGCCTGCCCCCACGGGCTCTGGGGTCTGTCTGCTTGCTCGGCCAGCTCCTGGGGACACGGGGGGCCATGCGTTCCTGGGCGTGGTAATTGTCAGTTGAAACACGTTTTTCCCTTTTCCGTTCTCGTGTCCTGCAGGGAATTTTTGATGCAGCAACAAGGCTGCTGGTCATGGGAAGGCCAGACAGAGTCTCCAGCTCCTGTCCTCCCTCCAGCCTCTCCTCCCAGGATAACGGGCAGGGGTGGGGATGAGCTCTGGGTGGGCAGGGTCCTGGGCAGAGGGTCCAGGTGGGCGGCACTGCTCTGTGCTGCTGCAGGAAGAAAGGGTAAGACTAGGGAAGGCCACACCTCTTCCCCGGCAGC